TGATTCCCTGGAACTACCCACTTATGATGTTGGCGTGGAAGAGTGCAGCCTGTCTGGCGGCGGGAAACACACTTGTCTTAAAACCTGCTCAGGTAAAACTTGCAAACACACATATACAAAAATATTAATAGTTCAGATTTTATCTATCATTCTATTTTATCTATCATTCTAATATGTTAATTTGTTGCTCAAGAAACATTTATTATTATTATTATTAACAGTTGTGCTGATATATATATATATATAGATATATATGTGTGTGTGTGTGTGTGTTTAATTTAATTGTATTATATATATATACATATACTGTATGTGTATGTGTATATATATATATATATATATATTAGTGCTGTCAAACGATTAATCGTGATTAATCGCATCCAAAATAAAAGTTTGTGTTTACATAATATATGTGGGTGCACTGTGTATTATTATTTTATATATATAAATACACACATGCTTGTATACATTTAAGAAATATTTTGATGTATATACTGTATATAGATTTATATATAAATTTATATTATATATAAATATAACTATTTTATATAAATAATATTTTTTTTCTTAAATATACATGCATTTGTGTGTATTTATAAATATATACAAAATAATTATACAGTGCACCCACATATATTTTGTAAACACAAACTTTTATTTTGGATATATATATATATATATATATATCACACACATAAGTAATTTAACAATTAAATATATTAAAATAATAAAAATCTACAATCTAAAAAATTAGAATAATTAGTTTTTTCTCTGAAAACTACAAAAACTGACAAACTAGATGATATTTTCTTGATTGTTCCAGTTAACTGCACTAAAGTCTGCTGTGTATACAGTATATATATAAATTGAAATATACAAAAATTGTAAGAACACACACACACACACACACACACACACATATATATATATATATATATATATATATAGTATAATATATTTTACTGAATACAAACTAGATGGATATATTCTTTTGATTTTTCCAGGTAACCCCGCTAACTGCTCTGAAGTTTGCTGAGTTGACAGTTAAAGCTGGCATTCCGAAAGGAGTTATCAACATTGTTCCAGGATCAGGTGAATACATTAAGGGATATTCCAGGTTTAATACAAGTTAACCTTTGTGAACAGCATCTTCTGTGGCCTGTTGCTAAACACCACAGAAAATAAGTGCATCTTCCGAATTAATTTTGTTTCTCCCAAAAATCTAATTTACAATGGAAACCTACAGGACAAGACATTCTAGAAGGGTTTAAAAGCAAAAAGTGTTTGTTATATTCCACCATTATATTCCATACAAAAATGTGTTATGTGAGCTGTGAAGATTTTTTCAGAAGTATTTGCTGTGTTAAGTAATGACTGACATTCCTGTCATCTCTTAGGTGGTCTGGTCGGGCAGAGGATGTCCGATCATCCTGATATCCGTAAGCTCGGTTTCACAGGCTCTACTCCCATTGGCAAACAGATCATGAAAAGGTGAGTCCCATTTGTGTGAGTAACCTATTATTGCTCAAATAAGTCATGTGAATCGTTAAAACTTAAATACGATGATGTCCATCCTGTTGCAGCTGTGCGGTCAGTAATTTGAAGAAGGTGTCTCTGGAGCTGGGTGGTAAATCTCCCCTCATCATCTTCAGTGACTGCGATATGGACAAAGCCGTGAGAATGGTGAGAAAAGACAGCTAGTGCCTGAAAATACAGAAGTCAAAGTCTGCTAAAGGGTTATTAAATGTAACAAATCATCTACAATCATGGATCATCTTTTATTGGAAAATTAAACAACATTTTTTTTTTTTTGCAACTTTGAACTTAGAAGATAATGATCAAACTACATTTTATAAAAATCACCTGTCAAGTTTATTAAATATAATCAGTATCTGAGAGTCAAAACGCAGGGATCTCTCATCAGTTCATCTATGGACAAAATTGGTGAAGTGATTGATGCCCGTATGTTTTCAGTTCTAATATTCCAACCAAGTCTTTAACAGACGTGATAACACGCTTGAGGGGTGAACTATGTTTGTTTTTTGGGTAATTATAAAACGTGCTGGAGACCTCCAAAGTGCTTTTTGAGACTGACATGTTTGGCTTGACAAAAATTATGCATTCAGCTGACGCAAATTCATTGACTCTTGAAAAATAAAGTATATTTTTTACCAGGAAAGGAGTGGTTTTGATGCACAAAGTTGTTGTGATTGTATCTTATAACAAAAGTATTTTATTTAAACCCATGAAAATGCAAATCCTCTTGTAAACAATAGTGAAAAATCACTTTTTACAACCGTTGTTTCATTATTACCCCGTAGCAGGTTTTGACTCGTATACAAATGCCAGATCTCCTCTTGAACTCACTACATGTTCGTATGTACATTGCAGGGCATGAGTTCTGTTTACTTCAACAAAGGAGAGAACTGTATCGCTGCAGGCCGGCTGTTTGTTGAGGAGTCCATCCATGACGAGTACATCAGGAGAGTGGTACGTGTTCCCTCATGGATGGATTACATCTTAAAGCATGCGAGCTGCTACTAGATGAGGACATACTAATGTGTGTTTGTGTGTTCAGGTCGAGGAAATCAAGAAGATGAAGATCGGAGATCCTTTGGACCGCTCCACAGATCACGGACCTCAGAACCACAAGGCTCACCTGGACAAGCTGGTGGAGTACTGCGAGATCGGCGTGAAGGAGGGAGCCACGCTCGTCTGCGGTGGGAGACAGGTGGACAGACCAGGTAAGACCCCATCTAACCAGACACCCATGCTTTAAAAGGGTTTGTCAACAGAAATGTGTTCTGTAAATATTTTTTGCGGGCATAAATCTGGCAACTTGGGTCATGTACAAGCATTATTCCCAGTTTTATGGTAGTATCATTTATATACTATTATTGTGTTTATTAATATTTTGAATTAGATTTTATTGGTAGATTTGAAGGTCAATTAATGTTGTTATTTTCTTTTGTAACTAGTAATTTTCTTCAATACTTTAACTTACACTCATAAAAAAACTAGGGCTGTCAAACAATTAATCGCATCCAAAATAAAAGTTTGTGTTTCCATAATATATGTGGGTGCTCTGTGTATAATTATTTTGTATATATATATAAATACACACACATGCATGTATATTTAAAAAAAATTGTTTTATTTATATATAAAATATTTATATATAATATAAATTATATATAAATGTATATACATGAAAACATTTCTTAAATATATACAATCATGTGTGTGTGTGTATGTATATATATATATATATATATACATACAATAATTATACACAGTGCACCCACATATATTATGTAAACACAAACTTTATTTTGGATGCGATTAATCACGATTAACAAAACATAATAATAATAATACTGATTATTCCATTTCTAATATAGAGCTATTTCTGCTTACAGGTTTTTTTATGGAGCCCACAGTCTTCACAGACGTAGAGGACCACATGTTCATCGCCAAAGAGGAATCATTTGGCCCTGTTATGGTGGTATCCAAATTCAAAGATGGGTAAGCTGCACTTTTCTCTCTATAGTAAGGCTTTTTATGGCTATCTGACCTGCAAAATGATCTAAATCCAAGTCAGAAGCTCATTATGACAACATTTGAGCAAGATATCAGCATTCTTTAGGCACATATATTATACTGTGTGCCAGATATTATCATTAAGGAAGAGTGTATCCCTGCTAATACCGTTGTTTTACTCCATCAGGGATGTAGATGGAGTTCTGAGCAGAGCAAATGACACCGAGTTCGGTCTGGCCTCTGGAGTCTTCACGCGTGACATCAACAAGGCCATGTACGTGAGCGAGAGACTGGAGGCAGGAACCGTGTTCGTCAACACATACAACAAGACTGACGTGGCGGCTCCCTTTGGAGGCTTCAAACAGTCCGGGTTTGGGAAAGACCTTGGTAAGAGTCAACAAAACACACTGTATTATTAGTCTGTCTCTATAAAGTGATGAACATGAGGACCATATGCATGTGTATGCAGGTGAGGAAGCCCTGCACGAGTACCTGCGGACTAAAGCTGTGACGGTTGAGTATTGAAGGGAACCCGGTACGGGAAAGACTGCATGGCCCGTGACTGCAGCCCGAAGTGGCCGAGCTGTTTCGCTTTGGCTTGAAGCAGGTTTGATAGGAAATCCAGAGCATATCCTGCCATGACTACACTGATGTGCCTACATTTTATATCACTCTTTTTTTCTGGGAATGTTTGGAGCGGGACAAATGCTGGCTTGCAAGTCTACACGGGTGAACAACATTTTTAAAAATGGGGAAAAACAAGACAAAAGACCTCCAAGTGGACCCAAGGACACAGAATTATTTTTATCTAGTAGATATTGAGGTGTCATTCTGACTGAGGTCAAGTGAATGATCAAATTAAGTTATTTTCAGGAAGTAACCACAATAGTATTATGACTTTCATAACCATGTTGCCACTGCCACACTGAACGTGAAACTGCTGCACGATGCTGTTTTGCCACAGAAATAGAAACCAAGTAACCACAAAATGTCCTGTCGCTCGTCACATCACAACTGCTCATTTACACTACCGTTCAAATGTTTGGGATTTTAAGTTTCTGAAAGAAGTCTCTAATGCTCACCAAGGCTGAATTTGTTTGATCAAAAACACAATAATATTAAATCTATTTGAATATTTGTTAAAATGTAATTTATTGCTGTGATATTCAGCATCATTATTATAGTCTTCAGTGTTACATAATCTTTCAGAAATCATTCTAATATACTGATTTCATGCTCAAGAAACATTTATTTGCCATGCTGACAAATCTGTAATGAATAGAAATGTCAAAGGAACAGCATTTATTTGGAAAGTAAGTCTTTTGTAACATAAGTTGTCAATAATGTAATGCATCCTTGCTAAATAAAGTATTTATTTCTATTAACTCATTTGTTTACTGACCCCAAACATTTAAACGTGGATGAAGCATCACGTTTTTTTTTGTTTTTTTTTATTCGGGCAGTTGCAAACACTCACACGACCTTAGTTTTATATATAGTCTAATATTTAAAAGCCATGTCGCATCACTGCCACTTTGATATCTGTACCATATTTGTACAATTTAAGGGTTTTAATACGTGTAGCATTTTCACATAATCACTCATTTTTATTAGCACAACTGTATATATTTTATTAGAGGATTTGACAAGTCTTATTTTATATATTTAATTATGCATTCCAGACAGCTGCAAGATAATTGGGTATGTTGAAAGGGAATAACAAACTTGCTGTTATCTTTGCGAGGAAGTTATTTATTTGTACAAAAAAATATAAGACATGCTTTATGTAGTAACTTATACTCTTGAATTCAGTACAATGGGAATTATTTACATAATATCTGTTGCCAAGTGTTCGCTGATGATGCTTTTGTTACACACAATGACATGCATTGTGTATAAGCTGTCAATCACACAGGATGTGTCATATTGTCAAACACACACAACGGTATTTTAACTTTACATCAACTACAAACTATATTAAAGGAGCGTTGGGAAACTCTGTTTAAAATAAAGAGCGGAAATAGCAAAACTTTGTTTTTGGTTTTTAGAATATTTTGAATGAAACAGAACTTTTACTTTGTATATAGGTAATGCATAATTTTTTTTTCAAGTATATTCAACTGAGACTGAGTCCCTCCCCTTGATAAAACATCTCCAAAATTGAAATTGAAATGAAATGTTCGTCATGAGTCCGTCAGCTCAACAGGACATAAAATCACTGGTCTGTGCTCATCCCAAACAAACACAGACTTGATGTGGTCATGCATTTAATCCATAGGCACAGAAATGTCTCCCAGAGTTCCAGTATGTGCTCTCTCACTTGCCCTCTTTCTCCAACACCTCTATGTTGGCCTTTTTCTTTCTGTCTCCTGGAAGTTTCAGTGTCTTTGCAGTGACAGTTTGCAGCTCTTCCTCTGAGCTGTCTTCCTCAGATGATGATGAAGACGATGATGATGATGACGATGACTCTTCGCTGCTGTCTGATTCGTCAAGCTCAACCAGAGCCACATCCTGCAGGGTAAACACACCCAGTTATTATGGAGGAAATTAAATATTGTTACATTTGGACAATTAATGATGAACTACTGCTGGTAGTGTGACCAGACGCACCATCTCAATGACTTTCTCTGCATTCTCCACACACTCGATGTCAAAGAAACCGGCGGGAGCCTCGTCCATCTGATGTCTTAGAGACTCATTGGCCTGGGCCATTTGGGGAAGGAAACTCTGCACTTTATCCAAGACTAATGCACAGAAACACAATAAATATATGCAAGAGAATAAAGGAGTTATGCATTATAATAACAATCCAAATGTATAACCTGCAAATACAATTGAAGACATTGAACTTACCACCACTTCTAGAGACCCTTTCTGTCTGGAGCGAAGCACTTTTAGAGCTCAACAGCAGTTTCTCGTGAATTCCTGGAGACAACAAAGTTAGTAACTATATAATGTGTATCTATTTCTATATACGTTTACATTACATGTATACACAATCACAAACATACTTGTTTAGATGAATGCAACTGTTTTAAAAGTTTCATTCCTCAAGATTTAAAATAGTCACAGTAACATGGAAGAATCACCCATAATTTATAGCAGACATTTAATAACTGTTTATCTAATCACAAATGCTAATCGGATCACATCTGAACTGAGTTTCTGGATTCATCTGATCGGCAGAAAAGATTCTCAAGGTATTTTAAATATTTTTTTTTTTTCAAAGAATGCCTCACCTTTTCCGTTGCCACAGGTCAACAAGTCTCTAGAAGAGGTTTTCTTGATACAGTTTAGTGTTTGAGCCATGGCTTGCTCCTCACATGTACAAATGCAGTCCTATCCACATGCGTAGGTATTTACCATAGAGGTATTTACACAACATAACTTCCGCGTTGAAGGGTCGAGGCACTGTTGGCGCCCTCTGGAGTTTCGGATGTACGTTAAAAGACAGGACTGTGGAAGTTAAGTTACTAAAATAAAATAATTGTAAACATTTTAGTGTTGAACCTCAAATAATATTACGTATTTGAGTTTCAACACTTAAGTGTTTACATACAATAAAATAGCATATTCAAGTATTGCAACTAAGTTAATAAAATAAAATAATTGTAGAAATTGCTGGTATGTTTTGTCTGTTTATGTATTTATCTATATATACACATACAGGTTATCTTAATTAAGTTAAATTAATAAATAAAATAATTTTATAAATTGCTGGGATGTTTTCTATATATATTTATGCAGGAAAATCTGGATTCCCTCACAGGAATTCAAGCTGTCATGCTTGTTTGACAACATTTCCCTTCTGTCTGCGAATGCGTATGGCAAAAAGAAAAAGGGGGAGAAAAGCGTCTAAGATAGTGTTAATGTGACGGTAATGTAACAAAAACAGTTGAAGAGAGTAGAAATGGGTTTTAAGCCCATAGTTGAAGAAACACCAGTTTGTTGCACGGGCCCATGTGCTTTTATTTTGAAATGCGCGCTCGCTCCTGCGTCTGTCGCAGTGCACGGCAGTGGTGACGCGCCGCTGTCTGTCACACACTCAGAGCTCCAGTCCTGTAATCCGGGAAGAAGCTGAAACTGATCTCGACGGAGCTTGAAATATTACGGTAAATATATGCATTATCATCTTTTCAACCTCCAGAATGATTAAAACAGCTTTCACTCATTAAGTAAAAGCTCTGGTTTAATTTGACTGGGTTCGGAGTTTAAATTATTACGTTAATTAGGAATGTTTATTAGGCAGCTGTTCAATATTTTTTAAGATGTTGTGGAATGATTCCAATACACAATTCACCTAACGTTACATAAAGGTAAAGACATACAATTGAGTATTTTTTGCTAACCACTTCTAAAACTAGGCATATATTCTTATTTTGTCTGAGAGGATATGCAATGTGTCCGCTCCCTGCTGCCACTGCATCACATATAGCACTATAAATATACAATAATATAAATTATGAATCAATTATATGTAGTTACTTACATTCATGATGAAGTGTTGTTCTGAGAACGACATTACAGTTATGTATTTGTTTATTTCCTTAGTACTGAGAACACCCATTGTTGAATTGACTTTGTTTACAAACATCTTCTGTGCAATGTGTGTTGTTTGTTGGTTTGTCTGTTATAACTATTGCATCTTCTTACATATGTTTATGTCAAATTCCTCGTTGTTGACTCTAATAAGAATATGTCATACAATCACTAGACTCCTGTACAATAATAAAGGAGATTTCCCCCCCAATACGCATGTAAAATGAATACTAAAGTGGTTTAAAAGTTTGTTCCAACTTCCAAGTATGGTGTACTCAGACTGTGTACTAAACATTGTGACTGCCAACTCAGCATAGATCAAATAACAACTAAAAGCGCATATTGATAATGTGACCTTGAATGTGTGTGGCAGTGCAAGTACACTTTTGTTGTTGATGGATGTTCCCTCTGTACTTTTCTTCATTAGGTCACTGTGACACTATCAGGTCTTCTTCGTAGCTGTCATGGATGCCACCTGCTGGTTCTGCTGATCTACTGCTCTCAAAGTTCAGAAGGCCATGAGCCCAGTCAGCTCCAGTCTGCAGAATGAGCCTCCGAACCATAGGAGGTGGTGTGCTCAGTTCCCTGGGCCCTAGTCTGGCGGTTCAGGCTGGAGCACCCTGGAGCTCCATCTCTTTTAGACCCATTCCCTCCTTGCTTCAGACCATGGTACCTGCCGGTTACACCGCTTTACAGGAGGAACGGCTGGCCATGGTGGACCTCAGCACCCCCAAGCCAGAGTCCCTCAAAAACGGGTTCCACCGCGAGCCCCGCCGCCACTCGGACCGCAGCAGCAGAACATCCATCAGCCTGTCTGAAGCCGGAGACGGGCGCTATGCGGAGACGGAGCCCATCCTGCCCGAGGGCAGACTTTCGGGAGAAGAGGCCGACGAGGAAGAGGAGAGCGATGAGGAAGGGCAGCAGCTCGCAACCAGAAACATGCCCAAAGAGTCACCCCTGGCCATGGCACTGCAGATACTAGTTCCCTTCCTTCTAGCTGGGTTCGGGACGGTGTCAGCCGGAGTGGTACTGGATGTAGTACAGGTGAGATTCTGAGCGTTTACTCACCCGTATGACTTTCTGGAGCAAAATAATATATTTTGAGCAATGTTTCAACTGTTTTTGTCCTTGCAATGAAAGGCATTGTGGTTGATAATCACATTGGACTCAACTGTCTTTAATTTTTTGAACAACAACTACAAAGACAAAAAAACATGAACCGTTTTGGCTCCCATTGTTCAAGGCGATATTTGAAGGCCCTCCTGTCTAAGCTGATATGTACCTCTGGTTTAGTTAATTAAGTTTATGTAAATATAACTATAAATATTATTTTTTTTAAAATCCACTGCTATAGTCTATCCTCTTTTTTTCCCTCAGCATTGGGAAGCGTTTAAGAACATTACAGAGATTTTCATCCTGGTTCCGGCTCTTTTGGGTTTGAAAGGAAACCTGGAGATGACCCTCGCTTCCAGACTGTCCACAGCGGTTAGTATCCAAACTAACTAACAAACCAACTACAGGTTGCATGTCGTAGCATCTTGCTTTAGTTTGGGTGTGCCTGTAATTTCTTTTTTTTTGACGCTGATGTGGTTTGTGATGAGATCTTGGCTCCATTTGGGCATGCTCTCACCTGTTAGGACCTGACAATTCATGCCTGTGCCCATCTTCATAGACTAGGGCTGGTGGTAAAAACCATAGACCTGTGATAGAGTGACTAGCTAGCCTGTTATTATGGTAATGACTCCATAGGTATTTCCAACCCCTATATGTCTGAGGAAGAAAAACACACATTCATTATATTATATATATATATATATATATATATATATCACATTATATATTTCATCTAATAAAAGTTTGTAAATATTTATTATTGCTGTTAAATTGATTAATCGCATCTAACAAAACTTTGTGTGATTAATGTGATTAATCACGATTAATAGATTAGACACACACACACACACACACACATATATTTTATATATATATATATATATATATATATCAGGTTTATTATAGAGTTAACTAAAACTAAAACCAACTTTTTTTGTTGCTTGAAATAAAATAAATGTTAACTGAAATAAAATTAAATATAATTAAATAAAATGTATGTTATTTTATTTCAGCTAGTTGTTAAATCAAGACATCTATCTTTTTTTAGTTTATCTTGATGTATTGAAATAACTAAAACAAAAACTGAAATACTATTTTATAAAAAAACTATATACATATATTTAAAAAAGAGCACAAAAAAACACAATTACTAAAACCTTAACTATAACTTTAATAAAATAAAATATACAAATAAAACTAAATCAAATATTATTAAAATCTATAATAGTATCTCAACGACACTAAAACAACATTATATAATTAGTTAATTCATTAATCAAAGAGTAAGTTAATAATATGATTATAGAATATAATATTTAAATTAATTATAGCTGAATTTTTGCTTCAATATGCTGCGTTTTTGGGGAATTGTTGTCACTTTGAGTGACATTTTTTGCCATGATCAGCATCATCTGTCGCTGATAGTGATTACTTTGTTCGCACTTCAGAAGTTAAAAGTGCCATTTCGAGTTGACCAACATTTTCTGTACTTTTCCTTAGACTCAGGTATATATATATATACAGTATATACATAGATATAGATATACCTGAGTCCAAGGAAAGCTATATGTAGCTTACATAAGCTAATTCATCAACCGATGCTCTTTTCTCCTAAATGCTGGAGTCTCAGCTGTTATCTGCTGACAGAGTGGTTTTATTTCTTTTTTGGTAGCTACTGTTATTTTTTTCTCTCCCCTCTCAGTCTGGGACTCAGACTCAGACTCAGAGCTCAGAGGGGTTTCAGCTCATGCAGTATAACATCTAGTGTTCTCATGGCAAATCTGTCGTCCCCCCTCGAGGTGAAAGAATAAACAAACCCTGGTGGTGTGCACCGAGTGGAGGAGCGGGGCTAAAGTACAGGCCTTCTGTTCACCCTCATGCAGCTGGGGAAAAAAGAGTCTATTGCCCACAGACGGCTCTCTCCTACACGCTGCTCTTTCACATTTACATTTGTTTCCTTTATTTTCTTAAGCACACACACTTGCGCACACACTGGCTCATTGGTTGTGGAGTCGGCCATCTTGTTACATTGCGGGCAGAAATCCATTCCAAACCCAAAATATTATTATCTTTTCCTCAGATGGTTTTCTTTTCAATGTAAAATGTCCGATGCCAAAATACACCACTCAGAAGGAATTTGGTCTCATACTATTATTTTTTCTTGTTTTAGCTTTTAGGTTCACAACATGTTTTACACCAAAGTCAAAAGATTGAAAGAAGACATTATATTTTAGATGAATCCTCCCCTTTTATTAATATGAATTAATCATGATTAGCCTATATACAGTAATATTATCATGATATATAAATATGTTACAATTAATGTAAAAATTGTCCTAAAGTCTTAAAAGTCCTAAATTAGGCTTTTTTCCCCTCCTAATTTTGGTGTGAACGTGTTTAAAATATTTACCATTTATGTGTCAACTTTTCAATTTTCCACCTTTAGTTTTTGCTTCAGGGATTGCAAGAAAAGTTGTGACCACATTTAGGGTGACTAAATGCAGTGAGGGTGAGAGGGATAAAAGGAAAAATAATGTTCATGAATTTTGTCATCCTTAGGTAAATGTGGGCAAAATGGACTCACCCATAGAGAAGTGGAATCTCATTATTGGGAATTTGGCACTGAAACAGGTAAGGGCTTACATATATAACATTAGCTTTAAAACAAGCGAATGCAAATTAATTTAGCATCAGTAACCCAGTAAATCTAAATTCGCTAAAGTTT